AAAAGCTGGCCGAGATGGAGAATGCCTTGTGTAAGGCTAGCGGACAAGTCGAACGAGCTAATGCTGCTGTTCGTAGGCTTGAAATTGAGAATGCTGTACTAAGGAGGGAAATGGAAGCTGCCAAATTTCGTGCAGCAGAGTCAGCTGCGAGCTGTCAGGAAGTATCAAAGAGGGAAAAGAAGACGCTTATGAGGTTCCAGTCATGGGAGAAGCAGAAAGCTATATTTCAGGATGAACTTATAGCTGAAAGACGAAAGCTGGTGGAACTGCAACAACGGCTGGAGCAAGCTAGAGATGTTCAAAACCAGCTCGAGGTATGTTTACTAGGGGAACTAAGATCATAAATTCTTCACAAGATGCTTCTTTAGCTAAGTTAAAAAGACTGTAATGTCTAGTTATGTACTAGGACCTTAACCTTTAATTCTTAAAGAGGATTTTTTTTTGCATATTAGGTAATAAGATGCTAATTAACAAGCTTTATGCTAGTAAATTGTGTTTAAGGTCATATACGATGCTCAATAAAGTCGGTGAATAAGTGGTATTGTGGTAGCTTGGCTCTCCTCAGTCGGACACGTGCATGTCATTGGCAAACTGACATCTCTGTAGAAGCTACATGCAATCTGACTTCTGTGATGGGGATTGGGTGCTTTTTTCCCACTTGACAAATAAACCTAATCTCTCTCTCTCTCTCTCTCTCTCAGATGGGGATGTGGTACTTTTTTCCTACTTGACAGATAAACCTAATGATGAGAAATATAAATGACCCTCTTGTATGTGTTTGCTTAAAAATGACTCGACGCGGTTTTTGAACCTCTCTCTCTCTCTCTCTCTCCTTTTTCTTTATTTTACTAACTTGTGTAATTTTAGAATCTGAAACTGAACAAGGGAACTTTTGCCTGCTGGATTCTTTATCTGAGAGTAGCTTGACTCTCGTCTGTGCAAATTTCTATTTATATAAGCAAGAGTTGGGATCAAGAAGCATCTAACTAATGCAAGATATTTTCCGCATCTTTTGGCTTTGTTCTGTTAGTAGGAGTGCATAGCATATTTGTGCAGTGCCATTTTCCTCACTTTGTAATAGGGTGTTTTTGAAGTGGGATAGCTTATTGTCTAAGTCAAATAGCTGTGCTGACAATGGGAATGAGGTATCTCCACCTCTCATAGTGTCTTGTTGCATTTTTATTCATGTGTTGAAATCAATATGCTTTGACATTGATGTCTGATGTGGACATAATGTTTCAGAAGACATCTCATGTGATACCTTGATGTGATTAACTTTTAAAGGAATTTATCAAATGGATCTTGAGACGTAATGTAGATGAAATGGTACTACGCAGAGTTACAGTAATAGGTTATTGGCACTTGCCTCCTACATGCATCATTGCAGTTGGAGGGCTCTTACAAGATTTTGCAGAAGATTGAATGGATATATTTTTATTTATTGCTTCACTTGAGACTTCACATTTTCCATTTGTCTTAACTCTTAACATGATATCGAGTTTGTTTCACCCTTGCCAAAGTATTGGTAAAACCAAATCAGTGTCACAAAGAATAATTTTTTTCAATGAAACATGTTTTTTGAATAGTTTGATAAGGGAGGGATAGCCTTGTGAAAAGGACCTTCTACCTCCAACCATGAGTTTAGGGGTTCGAGTCACCAAGGGAGTGAAGTGTGGAAGGGTCACTTTTTGGGAAGGGGTTTTTTGAGGTGGGTGGGGCTATGAAAGAAATTCATGTCTCTGATCAAAACCATATAGCTTTTGCACTTTGTGCTTTTGCCTTTTGATATATGAATTTGCTAACGGCAAACAGTAAAGGGAAGTGAACGCTTTGCAGGTCTTTCGTAGATCTTTATACTTTCAACTGATGTTCTTATACTAATGTGATTTCTCCAGATGAGCTATGCTCTTACCGACAAGCCAATGTCTTGCAGGGTAGATGGAAGCAGGAAGAAAAGGCCAACGAAGACTTACTTAGGCAGGCTAGTTCAGTAAGGAAAGAGAGAGAAGAAATTGAAACTTCAGCCAAATCCAAGGAGGATATGACCAAATTAAAAGCTGAAAGTAGTTTACAGAAGTTTAAAGATGATATTGAAAAGCTAGAAAAGGAAATATCCCAGCTCAGACTGAAGACCGATTCTTCAAAGATAGCTGCTCTTAAAAGAGGCATAGATGGAAGCTATGCTAGCAAACTGGCAGACTTTAGAAGTGCTTCATTACAAAAGGACACTCAAATGCCTAATATCTCCTCAATGGTGACAGATTTTGAGGAATACTCTCGGGATGGAGGGGTGAAACGAGAGCGTGAGTGTGTGATGTGCTTGTCGGAGGAGATGTCTGTGGTTTTTCTACCATGTGCTCATCAGGTGGTATGCACGACATGCAACGAGCTCCACGAGAAGCAGGGAATGAAAGAATGTCCTTCTTGTAGGAGCCTGATCCAGCAGCGGATTTCTGTGCGTTATGCGCGTACTTAAAATGTCACTTCAGGGAATGAGTTAAAGCTATCAAAATAAATGATTCATGAAACTTCATAATGAATAATACATTTGTGTGGCCCCTTTCGGAAGTCTGGACAATTATGCTTGCAATATGTGACTGTTTTCAAGAATGAAAAAGTAACATAAAAAAGAAAAGCAAAAAACAAAAAGAGAAAAGAGTGTTTAAGTGTGGCCGTTGTAAATCATCTATTCCCTTTCAAATAAAACTTGAGTTTTCCTCCTTGTTTTCTTTAATATGTGTTTCTTTATCGACCATATGTTTTAAGTGAACTTGGCCAATACTATTGCTGTGATCTTCTCTGATTTTCTGCAGCTAATGAAACACTCTTCGTACATTATGCGACACATTGTAAATACTGGGCATTTCAATTTCTGCACGGTTAATTTAAATGATTTTCTTGGCCTCTGAAAACCACCTAAGACACAACGCCTTGGTATGCGGTATCTGTGCTAGTGACAGGTAGCAGGTATTGGTGCTAATACCACTGAAAACGCTCGTCTCCCCTTTCACCCTTATGACGAAAATGATCAAAATTGTAACAGATTTAACGAGAACTGAAACTATTAATCATGTTCTATTTGTGTCAAGCTCTTCAAATAGCACCTCAAGGAAAATCTAATGGGCAATTAGTTTTGTTTCATAATAGATGCAATCGTTGTGCCTTGAAATAATTATTTTTCACTTTGTTTCTCAGGGGTCAAATAATTATTTTTCACTTTGTTTCTCAGGGGCCAAACCAAGCGCTGAACTTCCTGCAGCATATAAAAGACTCTTTTTTTTTAAACAGCAAGTGAATTTTCATTTAATTGTACATATTATGTAATCATCAGATACAAAGGCTCCTCAAATGATAGGCTATTCACTACCCTCTTTCAGCGAGAATTTTCTCAAGTTCCATAACTGCACTTATCATATCATTAATCATATATTACATAGTTATGTGTATTGGTGTTGTTGGGGCATATACAATTAACCATGCATTTGGATATAGTATATTCTAATAATTGTCATGGTTAAAGTTTAAATGGGAGATTGTTGAAATATATACTATTAACCATGGGTTTGGTTTAGATATAGTATTTATTATAGAATAATTGTTTATTCAATTTTAATAAAGTTTTAAATAGATCATAAATTAATCTTTGTCCATTGCTTGTATAGTAGATGATTTAGTGTATAGAGTTTAGCTTATACACGGAAGATTAAATCATCGATTCTTATAAGTATAAAGTTTGAGTTCACAATCTAATGATGGAATTGGACAAACCATCATGGATGATTGTAGGACAAGATTAAATATAATTTATCTTGATTATGGGAATGGTTTAATTCCAACTTCTTGTACTAGTACATTTTGTATGTATTGAACGGACCAAGTAGAGATAAATATTTTATACTGACTTAATAAAATAAACTCTCTAGCCATTAAACGTACTTATACTCTTAATCTTGATATAACACAAAAGGGCCAAATATATCTCTTTACTATTGAAAATTGTTTAAACTTACTCTTCCTTATAATATATGGCTATTTCAAACCCTACCGTTATACTATGAATCACTTTTGCCCTTATCTTTTACGGAGGGCCACGTGGCAATTCCTCATTAAACGAGCCACCCCTCAATTTAATCTACCCGGTTCACAGCTCAACTGCCCATAACCCGACCCGTTCTTTTTGCTTTTGATGCCCTCTTAACGTGGCCGTCGTTCCGGCACCGACGCAACCACCAGTTGCTGCTACTCCAACCTGGCCACCTCCCTCACCACACTCACCTCGGCCTCTTTACTCTCACTTGGTCTCCCAACCTGCAGATCTTTTCACATCCATTTTTTCTCAATGTTCTGATGAAGTTCGTAATAATACTATGATTTCTTCTCCTCATCTATCCTCCACCAGTACACCTTCTTTCCACCTCCACGTAAAGCCCTTTATTTTCTAGAGGAAACAGGGGTCCAAAGATTTTAACAACAAAGGAGATAACAACGTTCACATTTTTTGGGATCTTTCCAAAACTAAAGCAAATTTCGTTGGGAAAGAGAGAGAAATCTCCATTGATTGCATAATAGGGGAAGATCCAAGGTTGTATTTTCAGCATGGACAGCAAAAAGGTATTGCAGATTAAGCACTTGAAATGAAAAATCAGAGGCAATGAGAGGATTGAAGTTGATGGGTTTTATGGGATATCATAACTGGTTGTCTGATGATAACAAAAATGACTATACTTTGTTGACGTTCAAATTCGAGAAATCAAGTTATGATCTTGTTGTTGATGACCACAACTTAGAATAGTGGAGTTCAAATGTGGTCCCAACAATATTGTGGGTTCGGGTTCGAGACGAAGTTAATGAAGAATTGTTTATTGAGAAGTTGATGAAGTTCATCTTCTTCGTCTCTGTTTTCGGCATCTTCGAGGTGTACAACTTTGTTATGGAATGACCCAACACTGAAGAAAATGAATTAAAGGGTCTTTTGGATTTTCCTTGCTGGTACATGCTTGGATGTGATGAGTAAATTAAGTTCCAAGCAAGGAAATTAAAACTACAGTTGTCTTTCATTCACTAATGGGTCGGGTTATGGGTAATTGAGTTGTACACCGGGTAGATTAAATTGGGGTGAGTCGTTTAATGAGGAGCTGCCAAGTGGTCCTCCGTCAAAAATAAGGGCAAATGTGATTTATAGTATAAAGGTAGGGTTTGAAATGGTCAAATAGTATAACGAAGGATAAATTTAAATAATTTTCAATAGTAAAGGGATATATTTGGCCATTTTCCGTTGATATAATTATTATTAGTTGTGTACATTATTGTTGTTTTGATTTATTAAAAGGCAAGATTCTTTTGTGGGTCAATATGCCTGGTAAATTGGATAATAATAATAATAATAATAATGTTTATTGGCGAAGTAATAGTTAGTTGATAGAATCCATGTCTCGGTTTAGAGATTGATGATACACCTTTATGAAAGCTTATAAGTTTTCATGTGTAAACTCGGCCGGTGAATTTTATATCTGACACATGAATAAATTAATCGAAAGTCTAAAGGAAATAATCAATAAATTAAATCGTCAGTAATTTAATTTAATTGATTAGTATCTAAAACTTAACATGGGGAGTTAAATAAGATTTAATGGATGAATTTCAAAATTGAATAAGGAATGGAAATACGAATTTTTAGTGGAATAATTCGTAACTAATTATGGTAGATATTAATTTCAAAAATTAGAAATTAATTCCATAATCGGAGCCTTGTTAATTAAATTCAGTGGTCCCTACTGTGCCTAAATAATAGGAAATAAAGTAATCCTTTTTCTGGTGGAAAAGAAAACCCAACAGGTTTTGGAAAAGGATTTTAACCCTTAAAACTTGTACTATAAATAAATAAGGTTTTCCACCTAGAGAAAGTAATACATGGTGTCCGAAATTTTTCGCCAAGTTTTTCTAGAATTTTAGCCCACACGAAATTGTTATTTTCGGATATTATTTGGGTAACACAATAGAAGACCGTGGGTCGGAGATCGTGATCGTTCGGGTAATGGAGATTTCATCGAATTGCTGTGGAATTGGAGGCTCGTGTGATAGAGGAGCTTTGTTCATGCTTCAAGAAGTAACCTGTGAAATCCCGTTTATACTAGTTGTCTAGATTACATGTGATTTTGATACTGGGATTGCTTCCGCTACTTATTATAATCCATCAATTGGTATCAGAGTCCACTCACATATAATTAGATAACTAATTCTTTCATGAAACAAGAATATCGTGTTTATGTGCGCTTTTGAATTACATGTATATGTGGTTTTCTGAAAAACTGCACTGCTGTTTTGTGAATTAACTATGCAAAAAATTTGGATTATTCTTGTAATCATCATATATCTATTTTTATTGATATTTGATTGGCATAACCTGGATTTGTTTTGGTAAAACCTAGAAAAACACAAAATCTAACTTTGATCGAATTGTCGGTATTTTCGGAGGTCAGCGAATTTGATGGACTCCGATTGAGCTGAAATTTGGTGGGTCCATCAAAACCGACGTGTTGAGAAAAACTCACTTCTTTTAGCAGTGAATCATGGTATTTTTCGGCATTTTGAGGTCGTTTGGACTATGTTTTGGACGTTTTTTTATTTTCTGAAAATTATTTCTTAATAATTTTAATTCGTTTTTAATTCAATGGTGGTGGGATGACTCCCCACGGTCTCCATGATTAAATACTGGTGATATAATAGGTTTACACATTGACTATTTGTAAATAGACGTGTTGTTGTATTAAATTCAATAATATAGGTATAGGATTTTATTGACTAGGTCTTACAAGGTATAATTGATATTGTGTGATGATATAATTATTTTGTAAGAAAGTAAAATCCTCATATCCTAGATTACTAATGATTGGAGCGTTTAGCATATTTGTGCATAAAAAATTTCTCAAATTTTAGTTTATGTTTTCATGCCCTACGTGATTACTAGTCTTGGATTTTCGATGAAATTTTTTTTTCTCTGGTTGGAGGTTGTAATTAAGTGAAATATGACGGTATTTTGTATGAGTTATATTATTGGCATGGCTTTTAAGTTGTGGTCCATAATCTGCCATAAAATAATTTTATGAGCTACATGTATCTTCACTCGTAAATTGAGAATTTTGTGAGTAATAAATAGTTACCACTAAAGTGGTTTGCTTATTTGAACTCATGAAAAATTATTAATAAATTTGTACATGTGAAATTGTGTCTATTCATGGATTGAGCATTATGATTAATAAGTAGGATTCACAAAATGGTCTATTTATTTGAGTCATTAAAATCTGCTTAATGTACCATGTGAAAATTATCCTTGATAAATCTAAATTAGTGGTGGAGGTTCTTAACTAGAAAAAGAGCTTTATCTTTGGGTACCAGTGAGATCAACTCCACCCATGAGAAGAGATATTAAGTTTTTCATCAAACGGGAGAAAATATAATATCTTAGGTCCTTGTGTATTTAATAAAAGGATAATTTATTGCAAAAGGAGATATTATGTATCCTAGAAATAGGAAAAATATAATATATGCCTTGAGCTCATAGTATAATTATAAGGAAAATGGAAATCAATATCATATTTATTTTAATTCATGAAACTGCTTAAAACGGTTATTCTCGGAGTTTGGTTATAGGCTGGTGGTCATGAATTTGACGGACTCCGATTGACCTGAAACTTGGTAGGTTCATCGAAAATAATCTAGTGAGAAAAAGTT